CCTTTCACATAAGGGCTTTAGGCTGAAAATTGGTCTAAATTTTATGCCACAATTTCAGTCTATTTTGACCGAAGATAAATCAATAGTAGTCCCAGTAGAATGACATGCTGCACTTGTTTTAAAATCTTTTTACAACAACAAAACCATGACTAATTTTTCAGGTCAGTGCTAACTTTATAAAGGTAGATCAGTATGAATACACCCAGTCTTGAACTAAAGAAGACCAAATTTTTAAGCTGAAATTCTTTTGGGAAACCCAGCCCCCAGGTCCAATAAAGTGTTAATGTGGCAAAACGTTATATTGGTGATAAGAAAAGACAGCCAATATCAGATGTTCCCTGCCATCTCATATTGGAATTAATGTACACAGGGATGAATATCAGATTAGTTGAAAATTTAATTACGTTACCAAGCCCAGCACCGCATGAATTTTAATGCCTACCCTCAATAAATAGAGATATATCCACTCTCAAAGACGGTCATAAAGTATTTTTGTTAAATCTTTATTATGAAAATTTGTCAATTTTCATTTGAGAAATACGTATTTTATGTTTGATTTTAATGTATTATTTTTAATAGATTAGTAACATAAAAACCTAAAAATAGCCTCTTCTTCAAGGGGGTATTTTAGATTGTAAAATATCGTTTTTTATTTACCTATCATCATTACTTTTTACTTACCTATTTGTCATTACTTTTTACTTACCTATTTGTCAATTAAGTTTATTTTTTATCATTGACATTGTTGAAAATTTTGAACTATTCTTCCACTCTGTACCACTCATTACAGTTGGTTATATAGACACTTCATTGATCCAAAAAATAATTTCCATCAAAAAGAGTGAAAATTTATTCCAAGTGGACCTTTGTAATATTAATACATTGCACAATCTATTTGTTACACAAATAACTCTGTAGAAAGCACACATGTAAATTTGAACAAAGGTTTAACTTCCCCTCAATGTGAGTGTTAAGTGCTCCAAGAATTGGGTTTTAAGTGTTAAGTTTTTCAGAAAGATCTAAAGGCTTACAGGGAGAGTTAAGTATTGTGCAAAAGGAAATGTTTTGATGGGCAGAGATATGGATTCCCTGGGTTTTATCAATGCATAGGCTTTCAATGGAGGACGCTCCTGGTAAAATGTGTGGGCAAAAAGAAAGCTTTGGTCTGCTAAAAAGGATCAAGGCTTGTATGTTTCTGCTTTCAAGCAACTCTGATAAAAAAGGAGCATCCATATTCAGTGTGAATTAATAAAAGAAGAAAAGAAAAGAGAAGAGAAAACTTAACAAGAAAGGTTGATTTGACCTTTCAAAGCAGAATATCTGAATGAAAAGTTTACAGATGATAGGATTTCATATAAAGAAAAGTTGGAGTGTGATCTTTTAAATGATTCATCAACTGTATACTATGTTTGTATTAGACTCATACATATGCCCACTTGGATTTTCAAATAACTCAAAATATTGTGGAGCTTTTTCGTCCTGTCCATGCACAAAAATTAATTTCTGATTGTATTTACATTTTTAAGTTGTTTCTAAACATTCCCCCAAATTGCTACCAACCCCTACCCCACCATTGTGATTGTATGTGAAATAGTATTCTGGGAAGAGCATAGCTCCCCAGGCATAAATGTATGCTTTGCTGTTTTTGTTTTTTATCTTTGAAATACTCATCTTACAAACCGTCCCTATTTTGATGAATTTTAATAGTGAATCCAGACCAACCAAAAAGGCAGATCCCTTAGACCCACCCCGTCCTCCCTTGACCTCAACCAATATGAATGTTTAACATTTTACATAAGTTAAAACTGCTGATAAGGTAAGGCAATTAATATTCTGTAAAGAATAATGGATGAAATATCACCTCATGCCATTTGTAAAATGCCATTTTTTGGTCATAAATTCAAAAGAAACTTACCTTATTTCAACAGCAGCATGATGTAGCATTGAAAAGTGAACCTCAACTTCCTTTATCCTTGATGTTGAAATAGAAACTGTCCTATACAACAGAAAACGATGTCCAGTTCAAAACAAAGAGCAAGACTAATGTCTGAATTCCACCACTTTATCCACTGAACAGTAGAACTGTCACCTTAATTTCCATTTGTCACTGTAAAATACGGTCACTGACCACTCAAAAATGTCCACTGCAGTCACATCATGCTTTCAAATAAGAAAAAAAAAACTTGACAAATCATATTGATGAAAGACGCCTGACGGTCATGCTCCTCTTCAGTCTGGTGTACACCTGTTGTATCTTCACCCAAGTGTCCACTTCAGCTGGTAAAACACACGGTCCCCTTCAAACAGGATAACTTAATACCTTCACATTGTGCATACAAACTGCTTTCTATTGTCCAATTTCCGTCACACAAATTCTACTTACAGCGGGTTTGCCTTGACAACCCGGATAATCAGTTTTATCCTTTCCCTTAGTGCACCCAACAATTAATCCCCAATTAGCTTCAATATTAAGCATCCAAGGCAGGTGCCCCCTGTTGGTTTCTTTTTGGTCACTGATGAGGATTTTTAATATACGGTTAGCAATATCCAGCTGCCTGGGCCCAAATGTTTAGGATGGGAATCAAACATCTGGATGGAGTCACTTATTGAATGTTTTGATTGCCTAAGTGAGGCTCAATTTACCTTAACGTACCTTGCACAAACATTGATTGTGATTTAGTGCAAAGTGGGTGTAAACTTGGGGTTATTAGCATTTATGAAGGCAGGCCATGTTTTCAGATGAAATTCTTTGCATAAATGTGCAGCATTGTGATTTGTTTACAGTCCGTTTGGCAAGAAAAACAAAGTGAAGCTGCACCAACAAAAGACCACTGCTTCATTAACATGATCAGAGTAAAAGATCACATCAGATGGTATTACAACATGAACTGCTTTAACTTTTCTATAATCAAAATTGCTTACCAGTGACTGTGTTTGAAAAATTGTTTAAATCAAGTTGTTTTTCCCCAGGAAATAGTTGAAAAAATATCAACTAGTATGTCTGTTATTGTCATTATATTTAAAAACTTTTCATGCTCACCTTGAAAACTTATAGAAACATACATGCCCATAATCAATTAACATAATTAAAACATATTCCAAATTATAATCTCTGACATAGAAAGCATTAATAGAGTATAATGGTTTATTTCTTTAAGATTTTTTCCTGATACTCATAAAAAGGAATAAGATCTTGTGTAAATATTCCAAATAAAAACAGATGTCACTAGATATCTTTGCATAAAGATGTTCATCAGTTGCTTGTGATTCAACTGAAAAGTTACCACAACATTCAATATTGGTCATTGTTTTTATGTTCAGTAATAATACACACTCATTTACTGCAGAAACCAATATTAATCACCAAGGCAAATCATGGACAATAATTTAGACTAATTCTCCTTTTTCAAATCAGTTTCAGCAAGATTGTGTTAGTTGAGACAGGTCAGATTGTGCTGTAGAAGATAGTTGAGAGTGCAGCTGTAGGTTAAAAGTTGTCAGCAGAAGCCCCTATACACTTCATAATATTAATCTACAAATGTGAATGCTCAGAAATATTCATAATATTTTCTTTACTGTTGCTAAAAATATAGAAAAGAAGTTAATAGAATGAGGAGGAAGAAGAACTGAAGTTCATCATTTTTGAGAAACTTCACCATAATTTCCAGTGTTACAACAGTGGAGAGTCATCCAACCTAGAATGTCATAAACCATATCAGCTGTTTTCTCATATTACCTGACCTTACACAATTTTGTTTTTATATTGACCCCAAAACCTGACCTTGACGACATTTAAGTCTGACCTTCGCCTTTTGCCTGGTCTTTATCTTCAACAGGTCTAAGACCTCTGATAGTAACATCATATACAACTTCCTCCACTTTCTTCAGATCATATTTGAGGGCATCAAACCTTTTACGTAGGGAGTCATTTTTAAGATTTAACAGTCTGAATCCGGAGTCCAATTCTCCGACAAATTTGGCAATTCTCATAGGACGGCCATAATCTCCAGCAGTAACAGAGTTGACAGCAAGGCGGGACTGGAAAAACATAAAATAAATAAATAAACATATCTGTATTTAACAGACTAAGTGGTGACCTGTTTAAATGTCCAAGAAATCTTCTCGATGTAACAAAAATATATGGTTAAAAAATAAATAAATACATAAATAGTCAAAAAGTTTAATATTTTTACTTTTTTTAATGTTAAGATTATAAAAACCTAATATGTAACAATCAGAAGTGAAAATTGACTTTCATCTGTAATTATCATACAGGCAAAAAGCAAATAAAATTCAAATACTGAAAAATCGTCAAAGAAACAAAGGTCACATATTTCATGAAATTAATCACAATTCTTCAGAATTTATATCTCTTACTAATTATAAGTAATGTGAAAACTACTTCCAGATCTTACCAGTTCACTTGCCAGCTGCAATAGTCCCATCAAGAAGTCATCCAAATCAATATGGAACCCTTCTCCTCTGATAACTTTCACTGGAAAATAAATCTTTGACATTTAAATATGCTAAAATAAATATATATATTTTAATAAAACAATGCTCCTTTCATTCCTTGTATGATTTTGGTAAGTTTAAAAATTTCTGCATGAAACATGATAGTAAAAATCACAAATAATGCAAAATCAGCAGGCAAAAAATCCCCTATGCATACAAGTCTTACCTGAGAGCCTATGACCTCTAACTTGGTGAATCACATTGAATTGAACTGCCTTTTTTTCTTATAAACATAAATTCATTTTCTATGAAAAAAATCTGTATCATAAACCACATACACATAAACCTACAATCTTCACTGTATGGAACCCTTTGGTGGCATAAAACTCAACTGCAATATATTTATAAAATTCAATTACACATTTTTTCAAAAGTAAAAAAAAAAATTCTCATTTGAACAAAATGAAATCATAAAAGGATATATGCTATAATATCTTACCTTGTAATACACTGGCTACCTCCTCCCTGGTAACAAGTGCCTCCTGTTCCAAGTAATGGATATATGCTATAATATCTTACCTTGTAATACACTGGCTACCTCCTCTCTGGTAACAAGTGTCTCCTGTTCCAAGTAATGGATATATGCTATAATAAAGACAAGTCTTTGACTCACAAACCTCCAGTGGTCATGGTATCTGAAAATAATAAAAAAATCTTAATACTGTTTACTAGAAGACTACAGACAGCAGTGTCAGGTTTGCATACTTTTAGTTATAATGTTATTAAAATATTTAAAAAAATATTTTGGATGTCATGCATATCCCTTCTATAACTTCACAGAATATAGAAGAGAGTGGCAACAGAAAGAATAGCAAAGTAGTATGCACAGTGCAACAATGAATAAAAGCTGATTTACTGCATCCATGAATATTTCTCTGATCCTTTTCTCTAAAGGTTACGACCTATTGCACACCAGTGCAAGTTTACCACGTTTTTTTTTGTTTGTTTGTTTGTTTGTTTTTTTTTTTTTTTTGTCAAACATGACATCACAAGGTGCAGAAAGCCTTGTTTTAGGCTAGTTAAAAGGATTTTCATTTTGATAGGACTGTACCTGTAATATTCATCCTTGGGGATCTTAGCTGCTAAATCTGCTAGCTGCTGTCTTATCACTGGGAACATGGCTCTGCTTTTAGCACACACATCAGATACTGGGGAGATAATGTCAGCATTTCATGCATCATACTGATCAAGTTTAACACCTTATCAGAATTAGAAAGACTAAATAATTATCACTGAAAACAAAATAGCCATTTCTAAATTAACCCTGAATATGTACAAAAGTTCAATTCACAAATTTGTTTTGTTTTTTTAAAATGTGGATTAAAATTGTGAATAAAGGTGAACTTCTTTTTCATTCATCTATTATTTTTCACCTTAGAATAAAGTTATAAATCATGCATCTCTTTCACAATAACTGACAGAGTCCAGAGCCAACTATTGTAGCTAAGGTTTTTACTTTAATAAATAGGACTGTTTCATATAATCACAGGAATACTCAGATACCACATTGTACTAATAATAATAATAATAATACAATTACAGTGTTTATTATAATAAGAACTCGATCTTGTCAATGTTGGGAAATTGTGAATTTTAGAGATATTGTATTTTTCATGTCATAATTTCTTGAAATTAGAGCATTCCTATTGAGTGCTAGCAACAAAATTAAAACCAGGTTACTCTATAC